ATTTTCACTAAAAAAAAGGTTGAGAAGTTACAGGGTTGACATGTTGTGGGGTTGTTAACCAATGTCATAAAACAACATGTGTACTACGGTTTCATGAGAAACTATTTGTTCTGTAAGCCTTCACCTGAAGTACAATAACATAAAAAATAAAAAAAAGACTTTTGAACAGTAAGAAAACAATCTTTCAAAACCTAAGCACCTAACCCTGAAGGACATTTTGTGCCAAAGCCTAAAATATGGATATAAAAGTCTTCTCATTTAACAATATGGATATGGGGTTTCCCTAGTAACATTCAGTTCTCTTAGCCTCCAGTGGACAACATATTAGAAGCAGAGATAGGAAGGCTGGCCGAGAGGAGCTTACATACAGAGAAGTGACAGTCAACCAAATCCAGAACCAGTGGCTTCCTGGGCAAAGAACTCTGTTCTATATCACCCCAGAGCCCTATTTAAAAAAAAAAAACTATAACACAGTGTAATAGCTGATACTTATAATGATGTCTAAGGAGCCCTGGTGGTGTAATGATTAAGCATTTGGCTGCTAATCAAAAGGTTGGTGGTTCAAACCTACACAGTGGCTGCACAGGAGGAAAGACCTGGCAATTTGCTCCCAGAAAGATTACAGCCTAGAAAACCCTATGGGGCAGTTCTACTCTGTCACATTGGGTTGCTATCAGTCAAAACTTAACTTAATGGCACTAACAACATAATGATGCCCAATTAGATGAGGTTTATTATATTTAAGGAGCCATGGTAGGTTGTAATACATTTTATGAGAATTTCCACTAAATACAAAGGGGAAGAGTATTAGCCCTTAAAAAAAGAGAAAGAAAAAGAACAAGGCTGAAGGCAACAAGAGAGGTTAAATTAATATTTTCCAAGTGTCTACACATGCTAAGATGTTTTATGCTAAACCAGTCTCAACTGGGGGGTGACTTTTCCACAAGGACATGTGGCAATGTCTGGGAACATTTTTGATTGTCATGACTGAGGTGTTGTGCAACTGGCATTTAATGTTAGAGGCCAGGGAAGCTGCTAAACAGCCTACAATGCACAGGACACCCCCTCCCCACAACAAGGAATTATCTGGTCCAAAATGTCAATAGTGCCAAGGTTGAGAAATCCTGTGTTAAAAGTAAAACTTCACTGATGTGGAACATTACAATCTCAGGAGACAGAGGATAAATGAGGCATTAGTGCCTGACTGGACTGCACCTAACCTATAATCTGGTATTGTATTTCGAACAGAACTATTTAGATCTTCTTTGGATTGCAGAGCTAAAATAATGAGTTCTTCTGTTAAGTCAAACTAAACTTTTTGCTCTATAAGGACATTATTCATTCAATCTTTTTTGAGACCAGGGAGTATTTTATTTTCCTCAAAAAAGCAGTAACCCTGGATATATACTGCTCTTAAGCAAGGAAATGTAGAGTCTTAAAAGGTCTTTGTTGAGTCGGCATGGGTTTAGCACCTGTCAAACGTGAAGTACCAGATGCAGCACACTTGGCTAAAGCAACTGCCAGGGTGTCAAAGGTTTCTCCCAGGGCTCTGGTCATTGCCCACCTCCACTGTTCACAACTTACCAACACACAAGGGGCCAAGGCCAAACTCATGAGGAAGGAACACAAGTTATGACATAGTCTCATATTATGCTGAATGTGGAAAAAATTACTACTGGACCAAAAGTTAAAGTCTTCATGCTATTCTTTTTTTTTTTTTTTTTTTAAAAAAAAGATACTGGAATAAAGAAAAATCATTTATCTTTCTCTCTACCTCAGTTCTTCATCACACCCACCACAGAAGCATACTTTAAAAAGTGGACTAGTATAGTTATTGATCTTCTTTTCCAGGAGTTCCCTCAGATGGATTAGAGGTTAAGTAATCTGGAAGGAAGGTTAATGTTGCATTAACTGTGTTTTCTCGTGTGACTTAATTATGTTAATTATGCTAATTTCTATAACATGTTACACTTAAGATATGACATTACACAAATAGAGTAACAAAATAGGAAACATACCACAATTCCCAGAGCCTTCAAAATATTAAGTTTGCACATAGGACAGGTACAATGTTCACTAAGCCAGGGGTCCACGCAGGATTTGTGGAAAACATGTCTATAAAATAACGGAAAATTATGTCACAAATTATATACTGAAAACCTACTATCCCCAAATGTAAAGATGTAGAATTTTTAATTAGTCTGTTTTTTCCTCTCTTGCAGGACATATTTGCAAGTCCCAGAGACAAATACTGGGAATTTATAAAAATATAATTTGCAAAAAATCTGAACCCAGTGTTTCTCTATATCACTGTATAATGAGAACTGATACACAAATTTGGCTGTTTGGACTTTTTATTTCACCAAATTTCAAAGCAGACTTTAGGAAACTTATTAGGAATGGAGGTCATGAATCATACCTTAAAGAATCAGCTATGTTTTCTATAATAGCTAAAGCAGAAAAACGGAATTTCAAAAAGATACTGAATCAAGAATTCTCTGTATAATTATTAGTTTCATGTAAACCTGTTTAAAATTCACTTAAAATATTATTTTTAAAAAATTCTAAGCAATCTATGTTAACTGTAAAAGTTACCAAGTAGTTGGAACTATTTTTAGGGCTGTACTGTGCTGAAGAATCAAATAACACTAAGCTAGCAGATTTCAGCCAAAATGTTAAAGTGGAGGATGGGTGATAGTTCTCTTATTTAGGAGAGCAAAAAGTTACATCCTTGTGACTGGAAATAAGTCAGTCACGAAGGGTTTTGGGTTCTTAGAAAAAGAAGCTGTGCCCTTCAGAAGAGAGAGAAGACTTTGAGAGAGCTGAAGAAGTGATTTCCCCAAGTTCAAGTACCCCTGTATGGCAGCCTTGAGAAGCTGAAATGAAATCATATGGAAGTCCCAGAGTCCTGGCCAACTCGGAAAGGGTAGATGCCAAGACAGGCATTCAGGGCATCTTTGGAAGTATGCTATAATCTGAGTCTTGGGATAAGATAAACTAAAGAAATGTTCAGAAAGATACCAAACTGAACCATGGTATGCCTTTAAAATGTTGATTATTAATTTATAATTTAATGTTGCTATAAGAGCTGTTCAAAATGCAGTTTTGATTAAAAAGTAACAGGTCTAGAAAACTCACTGCTTTAACTGGGATTTGGAATAAGGATTAGCCTGAACATTATATACCTACCCACCCATTGTCACATAAGGAACTTTTACATAGACCAAGAGGCAGTCGTTCCAACAGAACAAGAGGATACTGTGTGGTTTAAAGTCAAGAAAAGTGTGTGTCAGGGTTGTATCCTTTCACTATACTTATTCAATCTGTATGCTGAGCAAATAATCCGAGAAGGTAGACTATATGAAGAACTCAGCATCAGGACTGGAGGAAGACTCATTAACAACCTACAATATGCAAATGACACAACTTTGCTTGAGGAAAGGGAAGAGGACTTGAAGCACTTACTGATGAAGATCAAAGACCACAGCCTTCAGTATGGATTACACCTCAACATAAAGAAAACAAAAATCCTCACAACAGAACCTATAAGCAACATCAAGATAAATGGAGAAAAGACTGAAGTTGTCAAGGATTTCATTTTACTTGGATCCACAATCAACACCCATGGAAGAAGCAGTCAAGAAATCAAACAACGTATTGGACTGAGCAAATCTGCCGCAAAAGACCTCTTTAAAAGTGTTAAAAAGCAAAGATGTTACCTTGAAGACTAAGGTGTGCCTGACTCAAGCCATGGTGTTTTCGATCGCCTCATATGCATGCAAAAGTTGGACAATGAAAGGAAGGAAGACAGAAGAAGAACTGACGCCTTTGAATTATGGTGCTGGCGAAGAATACTGAATATACCATGGACTGCCAAAAGAATGAACAAATCTGTCTTGGAGGAAGTACAGCCATAATGCTTCTTGGAAGCAAGGATGGCACGACTTACGTCTTACATAGTTTGGACGTGTTATCAGGAGGGACCTGGAGAAGGGCATCATGCTTGGTAAAGTAGAGGGTCAGCGAAAAAGAGGAAGACCCTCAATGAGATGGACTGACACAGTGGCTGCAAGAATGGGCTCAAGCATACCAATGAGTGTGAGGATGGCATAGGACTGGGCAGTGTTTCATTCCATTGTTCATAGGGTCGCTGTACCCAACAACAACACAACAAGCCATTCTCCAGGTTAGTGCTTCTCAACCAGGGGAGATATTATCCCCCAGCGGACATTTTGGCAATGTCTGGAGTCACTTCTGGTTGTCACAACTGGGGTTGTTGGTGGTGGAGCTACTGGCATCTAGTGGGTATACTGCTAGATATTCTGTAATACACAGGCTAGCCTCCACAACAGAGAATGATCTGGTCCAACATGTCAATAGTGCCAAGGTCAAGAAAGCATGACCTAGGTCAACCTGTCAAAATGTTGCTCAATGTGCAAATTTTACTACACCTGAGTCTCATATTGTTGTCGTCATTTCAGTTAGGTTAAATGTTTTACTGAGCAGGTTGTCTGACATAGTTCAGACAGGTATAACCTGGTGAGACTTAAGATGTTAGAGCAACAAACATCAACTGCCTCCAAAGCCACCTGGAGAACTCTGAAACACAGGCAGTAAGCATTTCTTGTCAAAGACCTGAAGTGAAAGACAATCAAGTGAATAGTGCAGTAACTATGGAGGCAAAGAAATTCCATTAAGTTTGACAAAAATTCTAAAATTCAAAACTAGACCACAAACACAAAGGTTGAAGACCACTCCTCTGGTGGTAGGTGCAGTCATTGAAAGGCAAGAGATCAACCAAAGCTCCGGATCTCAAAAAAGGACATGACTTTGCAACATCAAACCACTCAGGTACTTTAAAATGCCTGAATTCCACCTGAATGTGTTTTTGAAAGCTCCCCTTCTGATTCTGACACACAGTCAGGTTTGGAAAGCACTAGACTAAATTAAGACAAAGAGAACTAAGAATGAAACTTTGGAAAAGCCAACATTAAGAGATGTAGAGAATGGGGAGCAAACTTCTCAGAATAATCTATTAAAGGCCGAGGCTTGCTTCAGGAAGAGACTTTTATTAGTAATAACCAGGAATGGTGTTGGAGGCCTTTGCTCCTAGGTCCCAGATGGTTCTGGAGGATTGCGGACTGAGATAGGAAGACAGAGATTCTGGAAATACTTTCTTGTTATGGTGTCAGAAAAAAAAATCTGTGCAGTAAAAATGTTTACTTGAAAGCAGGTTATTGCTTGTTATGCTTTATGATGTATTCTGCCAACCATTTTCCTGATTTGTATCTTTATTTACATTTCTGTTAGGCGTTGTGCTTTTAGATTGTAAATGACTGCAGGCGACGATAACTTGGTCATTACATAATTTAATTTTCTTTAGGAGGGCATACTTTATTGTTTGTTTCAACCTTTATTTTTGAAATTTTTTCTTTTAAAAACATTGTTGAGTAATTTTATTCTGATTACAAAATCAGTATTTATTTACTGTAGGAAACAGAAAATATTTAAAAATAGAAGAAAATTAAAATAGTGATCTCCAACAGCTTATGGTAATCTTTGTCTATAGCCTAGTCATTTTTCTGGACATATATATCTTCCTTTCAATACCTGGATCAGTGGCACATACTTGTTTGAGCCTTTTAACAAATGGCAGTATATTTTTAGTTTCACAGATTTTCCTTTACATATAAACTAGAATGACTTGACTTTCAGAATCTTAATTTTTCTATTTTAGTATATAGCATTATTCTTAGGTTCCCATGATTTTTAAAAAGACAAACCTTCCTTGGCTCAAAATTGATTACTTGGTGAGTAAATAAAATAAGACCAGAAGCCTTATGGAGATAACAATTAACTAATTATTTTATGATTTACATGTTCTATAAGGTCACAGTTGTTATGGGTGTGTTTTAAAAAGGAGAGGGGAGAAGAAAGAAGAAACGTCTTTCTCAGTGGGTAATTTCGTACTTTTTCAATTGAGACTCAGCATCATATACTTAATATTCACATTCCCTAGAGCTTGGTAGAAATCAACGTGCTTAAGAAGAAAATGTGCTCTTTTCAGTACAGGCCACCACTCTCCTTCTGGAAGGAGGGGTACGGCATTACATAAGGAACACCGACAGGAAGGCAGACCTGGGTGAACACTGGCTTTGCCATTTCTGAATTCTGTGACCCTGGGAAATGACTATTGGCTTCATTACTCTTCAATGTACAGTGGGGATAAAAACACCCACTTAGGACTGCTGGGAGGATTACAAAAAACCAAACTCGTTGCTGTCGAGTCAATTCTGACTCATACTGACCCTACAGGACAGAGCAGAACTGCCCCACAGGGTTTCCAAGGAGTAACTGGTGGATTCAAACTGCTGACCTTTTGGTTAGCAGCCAAACACTTAACCACTGCACCACCAGGGCTTATTATAGGATTACAGGAGATAGCAAATATAAAGGGCACAGAGCAGAGTACCTGACTTCAAGCAGGCATGCAACAAATATCAGTCCTCCCCACGTGGCATAATCCCAGTTCAGAAAAAGACTTAATCCAAATCCCTAGAGTTCTGGTACCCACAGCCAAGTGAACACTGCTGAGGTTTTACTGGAGGGCCTGGTGATGTACTCTGATTGCAGATGGAGATGAACAAGTGGCTGTTTTTGAAACTCACAAACGTCGCAAATGAAACTTCTCAACCTTAATGTTCTTATGTCACAGATAAGCCTGGAGTTGTGGCACATGTGTTTACCATAACTAGAAATACTTGTGAAATCTGCTCTTGAGGCACACTGCTCATTGCTGACTACAATCTTCCACTTCAGCAACATGTAGCAGGCCCCTGCCTGCCAAAAGGGCCCTGTGCTAGGTGGCTCTCAAAAGCAAGTGGGATACCCATCTGCAGTGGCTCTTCTGCACAGGAGACATATAAGCCACATTAGTAGTATTCTTATTTAAACAAATAAAGTCAACATACTTGCAGGGGAGAATTCGGACAACATCATTCTGCTTATAGCTCTCTATGCAGACTGCACAATGATCAAAGTCAGGATCTGTTTCCTGAAAAGAAAAGCAAAGGAATAAGTCATGCCAAAAGCACATAAACAGAGGAGATACAATTCAGCTAAGAATTTTTCTATGGCAACTACTGTAAGCAAGTGATTATAAAATGAAACATTATTAAAAAAATAAATTATCAACTGCTATCAATATATCAACCCAACTTATGATAATATCTAAGCCAATCTATTTTGTTTTTAATCTATGTTGTGACAGTTAATATTAATTCTGTTTATGAAATGTCTTAAAAGAAGTCAGATTTCTAATTTTTTGAAGATCCAAATCAGCAATAACCTTGAATCATCCTTATATCCTCTCTCCACCATCCTTGTAAAACACACACCCTATCACCTGACAAAGTTTCACCCATCAAGGCTATGATTAGTCATCTCAATTTTTAAACATTTTTCAAATACTCACAACCACGTTAAATTTTCTTTCAGTTCCTGGGAAAACCCTAGTCTAAAGCATATCATTAACAAATCCTTTCACTGCATTCAGCCAAAACTTTCTTATTATGCTTTTCTGAATACAAATTTATTTCACATACAAAAAAGCAAACTTGTAATATTGCCACAGAGCTAGATCTACATTGTTACATTAATATTAAATTATATTTTCAAGCTAGTCTACACTCAATTCCATTTAACTTCCTGTTATGTCCGAAGAAGGGAAATAAAAATGGATAAGACACTCACAGGCCACACTGTTCAGTAAAATCGGCAGACTGTTCTTAAGAGGCCCCATCAAGTGGCTTAGACAGTAAGGGGTACACTGGCTGGGAATTAGACAAGACACCTTGAGTGGCTGAAGAGAAGAAAACTGAGCTAGGTCTTAGAGATAAATGGGATCTGTACAGAGGAGAGAGAGACTATTCTAAGCAGGTAGAAGGTAAGAGGTGGAGATGGTGTGGCACAGTAATCCAACAGTCAACAGATCAGTTGCACTGCTGCAGGTGTAGATGCTAAAGTGTTTGAAGGAAAGTGACATGATAAAAGCAGTATCTCAGGAGACTAAACTGACCGTGGTATGCAGAGTGGCCGAGAAGAGGACGGCAAGAACGGCTGCAAGGAGACTGTAGGAGCTTCAAGGGTAAAGTGATGTCAGGGCCACAGGAGTGACAGGAAGCAATGGAAAGGCTGGGATGGAAATGGGAGTTCTATTGGAGAAGACAGATTTGGGAATCAACTAAAGAAAACAGAAGTAATTCTCAAGTATGTATTGGAGATTTTTGAGAATGACAGAAAAGCTGGTTAGAGAGGGTCATCTGGGGAAAAGATGCTGAGCTGGGTTTTGAACATCTTGAGTATGAACTGACTTCTGAAGAAATGTCTACAGCACCCCCTGAGAAGACTGACTAAAGATTAACACAGAAGTGATGGCTTGAGCCAAGAGGTGGGCTGCAGAGAGAAGAGGACTGCCCCAAGGATGGAATCCTTGGTAACACAGAGTAAGCTGAGGAAGTCTGGCACCAAAGAAAAAGATAAAGGAGAAGAACTAAGGAATAGTAAGGACAGAAAAACAACTCTGGTTCACAGTAAGTAGTTTAATAATACTAACTGAAAAATGAGCCCAGTTATGGGGTTATTCTGTTTCCAAGCACTAATGAACAGAGAGAAAGGAGTGAAATATCCATTCATACTATACTAGCTTTGATGGCTGCCTAGGAAAATGACATCTGGTCACCTAGCATGGCAATATGAGGCACAGATGGGAATTCCAAACTGCTTTATTTTAATAACTGTGATTATTTTACATTAGATTACAAAAGTCTTCTGAGTTAGAAGTTTGTTTTAGCTAGTATCATTAAATCTTAGCAAAAAGTATTCAACTGTCATTCTAGGATTCATTTTTCAATTCTGAAACTAAGGAGAGAAAAGTGTCTGAGGGTATCGAAAAACAAAGGCAAGAATGAAGGTGAGCCCTATGATTGTCCCAGCCTACTGTCTGGAAAGACTTTCCAGGCCATAGTAGCGCGGGGAGGGAGAGCCCAAACAGAGTCCAGTGTTCGGAGTAAGTTAAGACAGAGTTTGGCTTTCGGGGACACCAAGGCAGCTAGATTTTCAAGGAAAAATACCAAAGGTGAGAGAGCTGCACAGAAAGAGAACTCCAGAAACCTACAGAGAAGTCTTCTCGAGTCCTTGAGTACTGATCTGTACATGCCTGGGAGGAAACCATCCAAGGCCAGGGAAATAACCATTGGAAAGGAGTAGGTGGAACAAGCCCCAGAGTTTACAAAGGGCTGAAAATAGTTCATGCTCCAAACAGCCAGAGTGGACTGGCCTCTTAATAAAAGGAATATTAAGGAGAGAGTAGAGTAGTAAGAAAAGTATTACCTTTAACAGTAGGGCCAAATTAGCCCTAGACTAAAGGCTTCTCTGTAACAAAGCCTAAAATAAGCCTCAAGTGATTCTAAGTAACTTTAGTTGTGTCCCAAAAATAATTAATGGAATTAACAAAATCCAGCACCCCAAAAATGTAAAATTTACAACATCCAGCAACCAATAAAAAATTGCCAGGCATGCAAAAGAAGAAGGAAAATACAATTCATAACCAGTAGAAAAATCAATCAGTAGAAACAGACCTAGAAATGATGGATAATAACTAGCAGATAAGGACATTAAAAAAGCTATTATAAACATACTCCATATGTTCAAAAAATTGGAGGAAAACAAGACCGTGGTAAGGAGAGGAATATAAAATATAAAAGACCAAAATTTAACCTTTGGAGATGAAAAAATCTAAAATGAAAAATACACTGAATGAAATTAAGAGCAGATTTAAGCCACTGTAGAAGAAAAGATCAGAGAACTCGAAGACATAGCAATAGAAGCTATCTAAAATGAAACACAAAGAAATAAAGACTGGGAAAGAATGAATAGTATCAACGAGCTGTGTGACAATACCAAGATATCTAACATATGTGTAACTGAGCTACCAGAAGGGGTGGAGAAACATAAAAAATATTTGATAAAATAATGGCAGAAATTTTCCTAAATTTGATGAAAATTATAAACCCACAACAAACTCCAAACAGAAGAAACATGAGGAAAATCACATCAAGACACATCCCAATCAAATTCATTGAAAACCAAATGATAAAGAGAAAATCTTATAAACAGCTAAAGAAAAAAGATATTATGTACAGAGGAACAAAAATAAGAACAACAGTAGACTTTTCATCAGAAACCATGCAAACTAGAAGACAGTGAAGGAACATCTCTGAAGTACTAAAATAAAAATGTCAACCTAGAACTCTACACCCAGCAACAATATTTTCCAAAATGTGAGGGAGAAATAAAACTATTTTCAGACAAACAAAAGTTGAAACATCTCCAGTAGACTTGCATTACAAGAAGGAAAATGGTACTAGATGGAAATCTGGATCTTCACAAATGAAGGGCACTAGAAATATACTGAAACATCAAATTTCTTTTCCCTACATTTTCAGATTACCTAGGTTTATCTTCTGCAACTCTTTTGAGATTCACTGAGAAGCAGAATGCGACTGTTAACTCAGTTGGAACTGCCTGGACTCAAATCTCAGGTCTTCCAATTCCTGCCTATTTATCATTTAGCAATTTACTCAACCTCTCTATGTCTCACTTATTCTATCCACACACTGAGGGTAAGAACAGTTTATCTCATTGAGCAGATTAAAAAAAGACAATGCATGTAAAGCAGTTCATGATGCTCAGTAAATAATCAATGAATATTAGCTATTATATTTTCAATTACTGTATTTAATTTGTACTAGTTTTCTACTAAGACATTTTAAAAAGGAAAAAAAAAAAAAGCAATTGGAGATATTGGTTTAGAACTCAGAAAAGCAGCCTGAGCAGGAGATTTCAATTTGAGAGTACTAAAATCTCAATATAATAGCCTTAACAGTCAAGAAAGTAGTGTTATCTCCTCTTAACATAAGGCTTTTGCACTAACATCCACTTCTGCAAAAAGCAGTGGATAGTCAAGATGGCAGGAAGGCAAAAGAAAACAAAACAAAAACAAAGACCATCACCAACAACTTTATATAGCTCTGCTAATTCTACAAATATAAAGCATGTTAATTTAGCTATCTGTTGGTTACTAAAACAACTGCTTAAACTTCTAGGTTCCAGTGTTCATATAATATAATTCCAAGATAAGGGTAATTAATTTCCAGGACCTATTACAAATCAACAGGCTTTCAATTTAGCCTTCAGTTTTTGCACTGCTATGCACTGCATTTCACTGCAATGAAAGAAAATACTTAACAACTAAGGACATGTTTAACGCAACAGCTTTTTTGAAAAAATTCTGAAGAAAACTTTTTTTTTCTATTATCAATTTCTATTTTTGTCCCACAAAATCACTCAAAATTTGTTTATCATAAAAAGTACCACAAAGTCTAAGGATTGACTCTGGAATACAAAAGAACATTTATAACATCCAAAGTGGAAACTCTGAGGAGAGACAGTAACAGAATGATCTAGGAGTGGCTCCAGAAACTCAATTAACAAGGGAACCAAGGAGAGTGGCACTAAGTGTTGTTAGGGGAAGGAGGTGTCTCTACAGCAGGGGTTAGCAAACTACGCCCTACAGGTCAAATCTGCCCACTGTCTGTTTTTGTAAATAAAGTTTTACTGGAACACAACCACGCTCATTCAGTTACACATTGTCATTGGTTGCCTATGTGCTACAACAGCAGAGGTGAGTAGCTGAGATGGCGTCCCTATGGCTTGCAAAGCTGAAAATAATCACTATTTGGCCCTATGCAGAAAAAGTCTGCCAAACCCTGCTTTAGGGAAAAGGCAATTTACAGTGGAGGGGTAGAAACTGAAGGAAGCCTGATATACAATTGGAGGATATATGGAGATTATGATCACAATGAATAGAGATTTTTCACAGGACGATAGAGGGGACAGGTTCAAGGTTTAAGGAGTACAAGGATCTAGGACCAAAAGGGAATAATTAGAAAGTCTATACGTAAATACACTGAGGACACATTTTAGTATTATTAGAAAGGAGAATATTAGGTGAAACTACTGTTATCAGGGTTGTATTCTTTCACCATACTGATTCAATCTGTATGCTGAGCAAATAATCTGAGTAGCTGGACTATATGAAGAACGTGGCATCAGAATTGGAGGAAGACTCATTAACAACCTTCGATAATGCAGATGACACAACCTTGCTTGCGGTAAGTGAAGAGGATTTGAAGGACTTACTGATGATGAACAAAGATTACAGTCTTCAGTACGGATTACATGTCAACATAAAGAAAACAAAAATCTTCACAACTTGACCAATTAGCAACATGATAAACAGATAAAATATGGAAGTTGTCAAGGATTTCATTTTACTTGTATCCACAATCAACACCCATGAAAGCAGCAGTCAAGAAATCAAATGATGTATTGCACTGGGCAAATCTGCTGCAAAAGACCTCTTGAAAAGTCTTAAAAAGCAAAGATGTCATTTTGAGGACTAAGATGTGCAACCCAAGCCATGGTATTTTCAATCACCTCATATGCATGTGAAAGCTGGACAATGAGTAAGGAAGACCACAGAAAAACTGATGCCTTTGAATTATGGTGTTGGTGAAGAATACTGAATATACCATGGACTGCCAGAAGAATGAACCAATATGTCTTGGAAGAAGTACAGACAGAATGCTCCTTAGAAGTAACGATGGCGAGACTTCATCTCATGTACTTTTGACATGTTATCAGGAGGGACCAGCCCCTGGAGAAAGGTATCATGCTTGGTAAAGTAAACGGTCAGCGAAAGAGAGGAAGACCCTCAACGAGATGGACTGACACAGTGGCTGCAATGATGGGCTCAAGCATAGCAACAATTGTGAGGATGGCACAGGACTGGGAAGTGTTTTGTTCTGTTGTACATAGGGTCCCTATGAGCTGGAATTGACTTGACAATACCTAACAACACCGTTATTAAACAAAATTGGACTGCTAACTAACCTCAACTTATTTTTGGAGCTGGTAGTTATCCCTGAAAATAACTTTTCATCCTATGTCTACGCTGTTTCCTCTAGCTGGTGTCCCCATATCATTCTTGAATGTCACCCATTCTTTAAGGACCAACTCAGATGCTAACTCTTGAAGTCTTCTCTGATACTTCACTACCTCTATCAGCTGGAAAACGCCTCTCCTTCAGCACCTCATCTGCTCTTTTTCATGGCCCCCATTACTTTGTGCCTTCACAGTTATCTATGTGTCTGTCTCTCCTTCCCCTCAGACTTGATGGTGAGTTCATCTGAGGCTGGCTCCCCGTGCAGCCCAGGACCTGACCACATCACATGCTGTTGCTCTGTCTGTGAATCAATGCTCACATGCACAGCGGGCAGGGTTTCCATGGCAAGGGAGCATCAAGCTGACCAATGGCTCTGGCACTGAAAACATACCTAATAGTACCTTCCACAGTGTGAACTCTGGATGGAAGGGTGAGCACCCTTCAGTGCAAGGCAGGGGCAGAAGCCTAGGGAGTGGCTCCCTTGGGATACCCTGGTCGCTAAAATATGTGTAAATTATGAGAGGCCTGTAGTAAAAGGAAACATCGAGGACTCTGATATAAGCTATATATTCTTGGGTAAATTACTTAACCTCTTTGAGTCTCAGTTTCCTAATATAACAATAAGGACAATAAGCCCTACCTCATAAGGTATTTAAGAGGATTAAATAATGCGTAAACAAACATCTAGTACAGCATTAAAATCCCTTCTTTACAAATAAGAACACTGTATCACTTAACCTCTCTAAACTCTAGCCTCCCCATCTACAAAATGAGGGTATCACAGCATAATTCCTAGGGGGGCTATAAAGATTGGAGTAATATACATATGTAAAGCATTAGAAAAGTATCTGTCACTTAGTAAGGACTATGGATTTTACTGTACATGTTATTACTCACGTATGGCTCAAGTATTACAGGTGGCTGTGATAAGCACTAGTATCCAGCAAAAAGAATACAGAAAAAATTCCAATCCAGATCCCACTACTTACTCAAAGTTATAACCTTTAGCAACTTAACTTCTCTGAGCCCTAAGTAGTTTGTATAGTATGGGTATACTATTACTTCTGAAGGTTGTTATGAGGATTAAAGACATAATGTGTAAGATACTACAGGTGAATAGGCAGCGAGTCTCTCTGCTACGTTTCCATATAATATGAGCTTATTCAACGTGAATGCTAGGAATACAGGGGAGTTGGTGCTGTTATACAGGGTGAAATCTTACTGGGAATGGTTGAGGCCCACAGGATGAAGCCTGTTGGGTCCAGTCAAATAGAACCCCCTCCAAAAGCCTCCCCAAGAGAAGTTTACTGCTAAAAAGGGGAAGAGAGACTGGACTTTGGGAAAAACGTCACACGGTGGATGGGGCCCAATGGGAGACTGTTGCTGGGAAAAGTGTTGTGTAATTATTCTAGAGTTTTAAAGGAGGTCCAGTTCACTGGCTGGCAAGATCGCTCTTCCTATGCCCTCTCCTCACAAAGCCACTGTCACTCAGACACTGTCTTTTTCATTCTATTAACATTACTATTCTGATCTGAATAGCTTTCACTGTACAGCCTACAAGTACCTAAGTACAGGCAGAAAAGATAGTTAGCCCCCAATGACTGCTATCTAGAGACCCACCCCAAGTATGGAAGCTGGGCATCTGGCCACAGACTTGGGGTAGAGAAAAGTCATGGGAATCAGTTCAATATGGGTCTTCATAAACAGTCAGAAGAGTCAGCCAGGCGGTTGGTCACCCAGTTTAATTGATTTCCTCCCTTCTCAAGCTGAGGAGGGGTTCCATCTGAGTTATCTGGAGCAATGCCAGGAATCTAAGCCAGGAAAGGTGAGACTATTTGCTATGTCATTGCCACTTGGTTCAAAACTCAGTGCAACAACTCTTGGCAGATCTAGGAGGTACAGATTAGGAAGATGTGTTGGTTTTAATAGGAAAGATTGTTTTGTGCTGGCCTGGTGGGCAGAATAAGATGGGTAGGTTACACTCCAGGGAAGTTCAAATTAATATGGCTGATAGAGGTCATCAGGCTAAGAGATGGAGAAGAATTCTGGAGGGCAAGAAAGTGTCTATGTAGGTTACACTCCTCGGGGTGAAAGTGCAGCTGTTTTGATGCTGCTTGTGTTTTCTGTGTTTTTACTTTTTTCCTTCCTTAATGTACAATGAACTTCACTGAAAATGCCTCTACCTTCTGGAGCTGTGTCAAGGGAAACTAGACATGGTGGTATCAAGGCAATGGGAATAAAAATGAGTACAGCCCAAAAAAGCAGTAAAACTTAGGAGGATGAAGAATCATTTGAAATTATCTTTCTAGGGCTCTTCTTTGCTAAAAGTTTAGAGCTGAGGGTGGAACATGAGACATTTCTGTTGTTATGCCTTTAGAGATGCAATTCTTTTTCACTCTAGGTAACCTTGAATATATTGAATACAGGGTCTAACATTAAGCTGCTACTTTATACTTAAAAAGCAGAAGCAGGGCTCTATTATAATTTGAGATTTGACTGGGGAATTCTGGTTAGAGGTCTCAGCCATAGCCTTTGTCACTGACACCCTAAGCTGATCTCCCTGAGCCATCAGGTCCAACCCTGACAACTATGAAGTGCTCTTCTTCTTCCAAACTGCTTAACCCACTGTAAGGGAGCACCCTGTAAACCGAAACTCCCTTGAGAGGTGGGTTTCTAGTTCTCCATTTAACTGGTGAAGAAACAAAACAAAGGAGACACAGCAAAGTCACAGGGCATATATGAAAAGAATGTACATCTATCTCCTGGCTGTTTAATGTACAAACTGTTCCATCAGAATTCTTCTAAAATGTATGCTCTTTTAGCAGAAAAAACTCTACTGAAAAACACACCTAGGGCAACTGTGCACAGTCTAGTGACACTGATAGCAAAAGTGTTAGAAGTCCAGGAAAGTTAAGGAACAATATAAAGCACTTCCAAATGATGAGCATACTAAGAATAAGATTTCAAAGAGAAGCTAATTTAAAATAAAGCGTTATGTAGCATACTTGGAGAAAAATAATGATGTAACAAACGAAACACAGAAGATTAGGAGATAGTCTCTCCCACCAAACCAAAAACACTTTATTATTTCTAAAATGTAGACATTATTTCATTACTATACCTTATCACCCTTTTTTACTGTTCTGGTTGTCAATTTGCTGATGGCTTTCTTGGCTGCATCTCCAAGATGACGCTATGAAAATTACAAAGAAAAACAGACGTTACATGTAAGATATCTGTGTGATGCTCTTTATTTTTAAATAATTGAATTTATACATCAAGTCTCTATTATCACTTTTCATGTTATAACACATAAGATTTTTAAGAAGCAATTAAAAAATTAGAAAAGCTAGTGGTTTCCTACATATTCAGTATTCTGGTTGAATAATTAAAAAACATACATACATGAAAAAGTCAGGTGTCATAACCACTATTGCATTTTGTATTTTATAAACATTTGAAATATTACAGCATTAACAAATTCTACTTCTTGTACACTCCAGAGCTACCATCACTGTTCTAACATCTTTCCTATACTTTGCTCCAAGGATGATCACTATAGATGCATAAACCCTTTCTTAGTGAAAGGACACCTTCAATACTCCTTTAAATTGCTTATCACATCAAGTGTAGGAAAAGAGATGTGGTAGAGAAGGCTCTGCCACTACTGATCACTATGTGGCCTTAACCTGTTGCTTGCTGAGTCGATCCCGACTCATAGTGACCCTACAGGACAGAGCAGAACTGCTCCATAGGGTTTCCAAGGAGCAGGTGGTAGATTTGAACTGCTGACCTTTTGGTTAGCAGCTGAGCAATTAACCACTGCGCCACTATGGCTCCTTTTAAAAAAAAGAAAAACAAACCCACTGCCATTGAGTTGATTCTGATTCACAGCCACCCTGTACAGTTTCCAGGGCTGTAAATCTTTTTGGAAGCAGACTTTCTCCCGTGGAGCCGCTGGTAGTTTTGAACTGCTGACCTTCCAGTTAGCAGCTGATTGCTTTAACCACTGTACCACCAGGGCGCCTTAGGAAGGTACAGTTACCATTCAAGCTGAGTTATTCTCATTTATTTGAGAGGGTTAAGTCAGATAATTGCTATAGCTGAATTTATTCAACATTTTGCCAGGCATTACACTAGACACCAAGGACCCAAAGATGAAAAAGACAAGTGTAGCTTTAACCTTCAGCTGAACTGGGAAGCAGTGTAAACACTTTTAATCTCATGCTGTACAACAGTGCATGCCCAGGGTGGCATGGCAGCACAAGGAAGGCAACGTAAAGCAGGCTGAGGGGCAGAGGAGGAAGGCTTTGAGGAAATGATGCCTGAGCTAAGATTTGGGAAAATGAGGGAAGAAGTGAGATGAGGAATAGCATGGGGATACGAAGGGGATTCTGGGCAAAGGAATAGTCTTAGTAAAGACAAACAGGTGTGAAGTACAGGCATGTAAAGGAAAAGTATAGTTCAGTATAACCAGGGTGAGCATGTAATTTACTGTTCAAATAAGGATGCTTTATGAGTCAAATACGGCACTATTACTAATTACACTGGGACAATCAGTGCAAATCAAGACTGTCCCAGGCACCAGATCCTAAACTGTGAGATGAGCCAGAAGCTGAGGCTGAAGGAGCAGGGTAGGAGCTAAAAAAAAAGGGTGACCTTAAATACTACCCTGATGACAAAAAATAAAAATTTTAGGGTAAATTGAAAAATTTAGTCATTTGTACCACCCAGGGACATTGTATAGATGTACCACAATTTATCTTTTCACCTGTTGATAGATTTGTATCATTTTCTGGTTTTTGGCTATAATGAATAAAGCTGCTATGAACATTCTTTACTTGCCAAGTACTGTACAAATCTTTGTAAGGACATATGCTTTCTTTTCACTGGGGTAAATATTCAGGAGTGGGAAGACTAACTCATATGATAGGTACATGTTTGACTTTTCTGGAAAGTACTTTCCAGAGTGAGTGTATTGCATTACATTCCACCAGTAGCGTATTAGAGTTCCAGTTCCTCCACATTCTCACCAACACTTGATATGGTTGGTCTTTCTAATTTTAATCATTCTAATAACTATGTAGTTGCATCTTGTTGTGGTTTTAATTGCATCTCCCTAATGACTACCATAATGATGCTGAATATCTTTACATGTACTTACTTGCTACCTGTATATCTTCTCTGGTGAAGTGTTTGTTCAAATCTTTTGCCCATTTTTCTACTGAGTTGTTTGTTTTATTACTGAGTTCTAAATTCTTTACATATTCTAGACGCAAGTCCTTTTATAAATATTTTCTTCCACTCTGGCAGAAGTTTTTAATTTAGAAGAAGTTAATTTATCAATTTTTCATTTGTGGATTGTGTGTCTGATGTCATATCTAAGAAATCTTTGCATATCCCAAGGTCACAAAGACTTTCCCCTAATTTTTCTTCTAGAAGTTTTGTTAGTTTCAGCTTTTGTATTTGGGCATTTGATCTATTTTAAATTATTTTTATATATGGTGTGAGATATGGATTGAAGTCCCCACCCACCCTTGGAATACAGATACAGATTTTTTCCAGCACCACTTGTTGGAAGGGCTGTTCTTTGTTCACAGAATTCTTTGTCCACTGAATTGCTTTTGCACACTTGTCAAGATCCAGCTGTCCAACTTCCAAAAGATAATAGAGGAGAAAATCTAGGTGACCTTGGATTTGACAATGACTTTTTAGATACAACATAAAAAGCATGATGCATTAAAAAAATAATAAAAAGAAGAGGTAACTAAAATTAAAAACTTCTGCTCTATGAAAAACACTGTTAACAGAATAAAAAGACAAGCCACAGTCTAGGACAAAGTATCTGTAAAACATGTATCTGATAAAGGACAAAGAAGCTTTAAAACTCAATAAGAAAACAACTCAATTACAGAATGGGCAAAAGATTTGAACAGAAAGCTAACTAAAGAAGATACACAAATAAGCATATGAAAAAACGTTCAACATCATATGTCATTAGAGCACTGCAAGTTAAGACAACGAGATACCACTACACACATATTAGAATGATTAAAATCCAAAACACTGATTGAATTTTAACTGACAATACCAAATGCTGGCCAGGATATAAAGCAACAGAAACTCTCATTCATTGCTGGTGGGAATGCAAAACGGTACAGTCCATTTGGAATACAGTCTAGCAACTTCTTACATAGGCTAAACATAGGCTTAGCATATGATCCAGCAATCACGTTCCTAGGTATTTACCCAAACAAAATGAAAACTTATGGACACATGAAAAAGTGCATATGAATGTTTACAGCAGCTTTATTCATAACTGCCAAAAACTGGAGGCAACTCAGAGTCCCTTTAATAAGTGAATGGATAAACTGTGGTACATCCATAAAACGGAATGTTATTCAGTGATAAAAAGAAATGAGTTATCAAGCTTCAAAGACATGGAGAAACCTTAAAGGTATATTGCTAAGTGAAAGAAGCCAGTCTAAAAAAGCTACATACTATATGATCCCAACTATATGACATTCTGGAAAAGCAAAAACTGCAGAGACAGTGAAAAAATCAGTGATTGCTAGAGGCTTGGGGGTGGGGGGTAGGGGCTGAACAGGTGGGGCACAGGGCATTTTTAGGGCAGTGAAACTAATCTGTATAACACTATAATGGCAGACACATTACATTATGCATTGTCAAAACCCATAGGACTGTATAACACAGAGTGAACCCTAATGTAAACTATGGTCTTTAGTTAGTAAGAATGTATCAATATTGGCTCATCAATTGTTAAGAAAGGTACCACACAGATGCACTGATGTTAATAATAAGACAAACTGTGCAGGGAGCAGGGCAGTATATGAAAACTCTCTGTGCTTTCTGCACAATTTTTCTGTAACCTACAACTACTCTAAAAAATAAAGGCTATTAGAAAAAAATGAGTATTGGTATAAGGACAGACTCATAGACCAAACGGAACAGAACTGAGAGTCTGTAAATAAACCCATATATCTATGGTCAACTGATTTTCAACAAGGGTGCCAAGTCCATTCAATGAGGAAAGAATAGTTTTGTCAATATATGGTGGTGGGACAAACGAATATGCACATGCTAAAGAATGAAGTCAGAACTATCTGTGCGCTATATACGAAAATTAACTCTAAATGGATCAATGGCCTAAATATAAGAACTAAAACCATAAAACTGTTAGAAAAAAAAACATAGAGGTAATGCGATGACAGCTAGTTTTCAACAACAGACACTTAGACATAATATCCTAAGTTCAAGCAACAAAAGGAAACAAAGATAAACTGGACTTTATCAAAATTAAAAATTTTTGTGCATAAAAGGACTTTATCAGCAAAATGAGGAGACAACCAACAGAATGGGAGAAAATATTTGGGAACCATCTATCTGATAAGGGTTTAATATCCAGAAAATATTAAGTGCTCCTACAACTCAACAACAAAAAGACAACAACCCAACTAAAAAATAGGCAAAGAACTTGAACAGACATTTCTCCAAACAAGGTATATAAATGGCCAATAAGCACACAAAAAGATGCTTAGTGTCATTATATAATCATCTTGGAAATGCATATCAAAACCACAATGAGATACCACTTCACACCCATTAGGATGGCTAGTATCAGAAAAATGGAAAATAACAAGTGTTGACGAGAATGCGAAGAAATTGGAACCTTCATTGCTGGTGGGAATGTAAGGCGGTTCCTTAAAACGTTAAACACAGAATTATCATATCACCCAGTAATTCCACTCCTAGATATATACCCAAAAGACTTGAAAGCAGGGACTCTCACAGATAGTTGTATATCAATGTTCAGCGCAGCATTATTTGCAAGAGCCAAAGGTAGAAACGCCCCAAGTGTCGATCAACAGATTAATGGATAAACAAAATGTGGTATATACAGACAATGAAATATTATTCAGCCAAAAAAAGAAATGAAGTTCTGGTATGTGCTATGACATAGATGAACTCTAAAAATATTATGCTGAGAGTGAAATAAGTCAGACACGAATAGTGTAATAATTTAAGACTCCACTTATATGAAATACTCAGAATAGGCAAAGCATAGAGACAAAAGTTTATTAGTGGTTACCAGGGGCTGGGGGGACTGGGAAATGGGGAGTTATTACTTAATTAATGTTTCTGTTAATGGGTTTCTGTTTAGGGGGATGAAAA